CTATGGGTGGCAAATGATAAGAATATTGATTAAATTTTAATTTTTTAATTAGAGAATGGAGTATTCAAATAGAATTAAGACAAAACTATTCAATTAAATACAAATCAATTATGTGAAGATGATTGGAGACTCTTCCAAATTATATATAATAAAGATAAAAATATGCTATTAGTTAGACATAAACATCATATTTATATTATTAGCAAAGTAAATGAAGGTAACTTTAAGATAAGAGGATCATTAAATTGTGAAATTGAAGATATTTTTGGAACTATTACAGATAATGCATAATATTTAGTATTTTGGGATAACAAATAAAAGAAATATTCATCATATGAGTTATTATAAAAATGAAACTTGAGATATTGAGATAAAAAAAAATTTTTTAGTATATATATTTCAAACTTTATTTATTATTAATATTAAGTTTAGCGTATTTTTATCTGAATATTTTAGAAATTTTTATTCGTGTGATTCAATTTAATTATGCCATTGAATTTAATTAATTTAATTAATTAAGTTTTAAAGATAGTCTTTAAGGTGTTTGTAGATTTCACTATATTATGATTTATCACTGATATTAGATATGTCATTTGTATTCTTAAGGAGAAAGTATCCATGGTGGTTCAGACTTTAATTTCAATATTTTCTTCAGCAAAATTCTAATATACAATTAAAAAAATTACTTTAACAAATAAAAAATAAAAAGGTTATTAGTAATAAACATTATACATGAAAACCATGGTACATCAATTCAAACGGTTTATTCTCTTATTAATACTCATCATTCAATTTATGATGAAAAAAATAGTTAGAATTGTTCTTTGAATTCATATATTTACAGGTTGAAAAGTATTAGAGTAAACCATCTTTTTCAGCCAATTCTCTAACAATTCTCAAATAAACATAAACGAATTATGTACTTTATGATCATGAAAGTTCTAAATGTTTTATTAAACAAATATGTCAAAAAGAATTTTTATGATATAAAATGATGATCATTATTCAAGACTCCTTTTAAATCTCTTAGAATTATTGGAGTCTTCGCTGGCATATTTTAGGAAACAATATGGATTGAGGAATCTCCTAATAACAACTTCGAAATCGGTTAACTAAGATTCTTTACCTATTGAAGGGCTTTTAGAATCTATTAATAAATTAAATATTTCTTTCAAAAATTAATAAAATAGGAAATATAAAAACTCTACTATAATAAATACTTGAGTATTGTGTATAACTAAATGAAGTGTAAAATTTGTTTTCACTTGCAAATTTATTAAAAAAATAAGGATGATTTCTTATATTTTACAAAAGCCTCAATTTGATCTTTATTAAAAATATTAAAAAAACTAAGTTGCTTATTTAAAGATTATTTATCTTTTATATAATAAAAAAATGTGAAGTACATTATTTTTATTCTATAATTATTTAATCTATTAAAACCAAAAATATAATTATGAATATTACATATTAGACTTAATCTAAATTCTAATAAAAAGATTCTTATCTTAATTTGAATTAAAATTGAAGATATATGATTAAAAAATGATTTGTATTTTAATGTTGTAATCTAATTTAGAAGGTCTCTCATATAATTAAAAAAGGTGTTTAAAGATGGGATATTAATACAGGTTGGAATTTGAATCAATTTGCTAGAAATTAATCAACTGTTATTTGTTATAATGCAATTTAGCTATAAAAAAGTTTACAATAATTATGTTTCTTAAATATTTGACGATTTATTTATTTTTAAATACCAAGAGCGAAAGTGATGTTATTTAAGCCTTAGATTATCTTAATCGTTAATAATTAAGAATAAGTTTATTCATCTCTCAAAGAATACTATCTCTTGATCTATTAGTTGGTTTCTGAATAAATTTACATATAATCTTTATATTAAATGCTTAAAAACATTAGAACAAATAAGAAATATGAAATTAAAATTTAATTAATCCTATTAAATTTTAAAATAATTCATATCATAATGTCAGCGAAATAGAATTTGGTAGATTTGTTCAAGTGATGCTCATAATCTTGATATCAAGAAAAAGATATCCAACATATGAATTATAAAATTATTAATTAAGTTTGAAGATTATTATGTTATTTATTATATTAGAAAGATTTGACATGATTTGTAAACTAAAAAAATTAAAATCTGGCTTATTAGTTTACTCCTTCAAAAAAGAATATTATTAATGATTTTTTACAGCAAAGTCACATAATGAACAATCATGTAAATTAGCCTGAAGAAAGTAATAAAATGACTTTATAAGTAATATATTATAAAAAAGAATAAAACTCTTTATTGAGAAAATATCTCCCTAGATAAAAAAGATGAAGATTTCTTATCATTTTCGAAAACTACAACAAAATTTCAAGTAAAAATATTTTCTATGTCAAAAAGATTCTTATTATATTTAGAGATGTAAATAAATCACTTATGTGAAAATATATTTTTTTATTTATTAAATTGAATTCTCAATAATAAAAAATAAATTTTAGAAATTAAATAAACTAAAAACTCAATAATGAGTTAATAAAATTAAAAAAAAAATTAATTTATGATTTGCATGGAAATGCTAATTCTGTATCAAAAAAATAAAAAAATTTTTAGAATATGAACATTTAATAACTCAAAATAGAATAATATTTATTATTTATAACATAGTGACCTTTTTTTTTATCACCTAGTTTTATGATGTTGCATTATTGAGAATAGTTGGAAAAATTAGAGGTAAATAAAGCAATTACCCAAAGACCTGAAAGTTCTCAAGCAGGGGGTGAAGGAGGATGAAGTATGATCTTAAGCATTTACATGAAATGATTGAAATTTATATCTGATCTCTCTTTTTGTTTTTGATCTCTCCAGAAGCAATTATTAAATAATTTTAACATAGGGATTAATTAGTTATCTTGGCTTTAGAAAAAAACATTTTAAAGAATAATTACATTAAAATAATTTGATATCATTATTTTTTCATTTTATAAAAACTTAAATATAGAAAGAATAAGCCTTAATATATCAAATAATTGCAATAATTAATCAATAAACACCTGATGCAGCACCAGCTTTATGGATGACTATTGATTTTATATTAAAAAATTTAATTTAATAAAATTGTAAATTTTTATTAAATTAAATTTTTTAATAAGTCCTTTTCAACGTTATCATTAATCGGTTCTACCTTTTTAGAGGAAAGGTTAATTATAAAAAAATGAAATTAATAAAGATGCTATCCATTATCTTAAATTTTAAGCAAACCAAATACTAACTAATTGAATTAAAAAACAATCCTTTTGTTATGATTTAATTTGAACAGAGGTGCATGTACTTTTTCTAATGAAAGACAAATATTCTTTATAAATGGAAATATATTTAATACTTTTATAAGTTATGTTTGCTTTTCCTTTTAGTGATAAATACCAATCACTTTTAAAAAATAATAAATAAATCTATTCTACTTAAGTTTTAATGATAAACTTTATTCGATTTAGTCTTCTTTTTAATTTTCGCAAACTCTGGGTTCTACACATGTAATCTCTTTAGAGTCTTTGCTAAAATCTTTTCTGCATTCTTCTCTCCAGAATTACAACCTTCCCTGAGGAATCAATGAGTAATTACTCTTGAAGCTTAGAATTGATCATATTTATTTTTAAGCATTTCATAGTAATTCAAAAAAGAAGCAACTTGAAAGAAATAAAAAATTTTATTTTAATTATGTAAGTTCTAAAATAACAATGTAATTTGATAATAAAATTGAAACACATTTTGGATATTTGTATGTTAATTTCTCACCATTTTCAGAGTTAAATCAATTAAGTAAAATATTGATTATTGTGTTTAGGACCATGTACTAAAGATGCAAAAATATGTTTAGGATTAATTTCTGATTCAAATAATTTTTAAGCTGATTTTGTTATTTATTGGATCAGTTATTCTTGAAATAATTCTTAATAAATTTGGTAATTGATGGATTTCAAAAGTCAGAACGAAGGAATTATATATTCAATAAAAGAATAGTGAAAAAAAAGTTCTGAAAATAAGTTATTATTATCGATTTTACTAAATCTTCGTTAAAAAGTTTAGAAATGAAAAATTTAAATAATAAATTATTAATGGAAAATGAATAGATAAGCTTTATGTTTGATGGTAATAGATCCTTGAGAACCTCAGTAAAACTCTTATAACCAAACTGGCTGCCTTTTAGATGGGCATTTAATGGCTTAAATATTTTCCTGGGTGGATTGACGTAGCTGAAACTTATCAAGATGAGGAATTCTTGATTTTTTTATATTTTAGTTATTGTAAGATAACACTTTAGAGCAGACCTTTAATAAGCACTAAGGCATTCCTTATGTTTAACATGAAAATTTTTGATTAAATATCATAGAAGCAAGTGAACTTTCTGTCCATTTTGATGATGATGTTAAGTATCTTCTGTAAAACTGTTAAATAATTTCTAGTTACAATGGTATGGTAGATTATAGATTAATGAAAAATATATAGTATATTTGAGATTCAAAATGAAAAATATGAAATTTCATATCAATCTTTAATTTAATAAAAAGTGAGACTAGCATTTGATAATCTTTAACATTGAGTGTTTATTTTTAAATAGTTTTAATTCTTATCAGTAATCTACTCAATCTAGTTGATTTAAACTGGTTATCTAACTCAAATTTTCAATTAGGAAAGCCCAATGCTAGAAGATTAAAATTTTTTTTCGCCTTCTCAATATTTATTGGAGGATGAGCCAAATTTTTATTTCAATTTTATACAATAGGTCAATATAGTTAGACTTATGCATAATTTTATTTTCTTTTAAGCAAAATCTTGAAGTAATTCATGAGTAAATTCTTATAATTTTGATTAGCTTCTCATAATAAACTTGGGAATCTAAATTATCCTAAACTTTCTGATTGTATTTAATTATATCTTTTATTCATCAATCTAAAACTTAAGTAAGATTTAAGATCAACAAATCTTAAGATTTAATAAAATACTTAAGATTAAAATTTATTTAGAGATATTGTGTATGTAGAATTAAAGGTATAAATTCTACATTTAATTCTTAATTATGTTTATATTTGATAAATATATTTTTTATTATGGGTTTTTAAAAAGTTCTAAGACCTTTTACAGATTTTCTTACATCATTATTTGAATTACTGTTTATCAATATTATACAAAAGTTGGTATGTCATCAAAGGTGATTTAAATCATTTTATTCATTATTATACATAAAGAACAATATAAATAATTATAACTAAATAATTTAAATTTTGAAACCCAACTTTGGCTTTTAACAATCTGATCATCTAATGTTTTATTTAAAATAACTATTTTTTACTTTAGAGTAGTTTTTCATATCCATACAAGCTTCTATATAGCAAAACAAAAATCAAAAAATCTCGAAGCATATTATATAAATATGCAAATTTGAATGTATTTTTATTAAGAAATCATAATGTTAAAAATGAAAATATAATAGGAAATCTATTTATAGATATTATAACCAATAAGTTTTAGGAAATTATGCTAAAATCTAAATGGTGTTGAATTTCTCTATCCTTCTCATCAAAATAGCCAAATTCTCAATTTCTTTTAATTAATTAATACAAACTTTCCCCTTTTTAAACAGATGCACGTACTAAAATAATCGAAACTCCTATATATATATATACATATTTATAAATACCTCCTCTTCTAATTAGTCAAATGTAGTTAAAAATCAAAATTTTTTACATCACCTATTTTTTCATAAATTTCTATTGCAACAACTGATTTCTATAAGATAGAATAACATAAAAATTAATTAATTGTTTATAATATTTATTGGTTAGAGATTGATTCAAATAATCAATCCTTTTTTTATGAAAGTTATTAGTCCTATTATAAGACATTATTTAGTATTTTTGAACTAAACTTAAATCATTTTTATTAGTATTTATAATATGAAAATTGTATATATATTGTTAGGGTACCTTGTTAATTTTTTAAATTCAAAGTGCGATGAACTAATAAAACCATCGTTAGTAACCTGTTACTCATACATATAAAAGTGTTCTATTTTAGAAGGAGATCAAGAAGATTATTAAGAACTCTAGCATATCAATACTCAAATTATTAAAAAATCAATCTAAATTCCTTATAAAGATGAGCCAATTTTAATAAGAATCATTAATTCTTTAAATGAAAATAAAATACAAGACAAGATGATGTGCTTTTTATTTCTTAATATTGAATATTATATCACTTGTATAAACTTTGACTTAATTTTTTATGAGGAATAAACAAATTTTAATGAGCTGATTAGAATAGATACAAAAATATTAGCTAATGAACATTGTGATGAAATATTTACAAATGAAGATGGAAGTTTGAGTTTATTTTGTATTGGTAAATTTACTTTCAAATAATATTCCTTGTATTTACAAGAGAATGTAACTTTAATTATGGAGCATGATTTTACAGATCAAATATAAGATGGATGTAAAAAAAAATTATTGAAATAGAAGGAAAATTTATATTTCATTATATTTTATCAATGTTCTAAATTTAAGATAATGTTAATTAAAAATAATCAAGTTAAAACTATATTTGATGATTAAATGAAATATTAAGACATTTAATTATCAAACTTCTCTTTTATTGATGATGTATAATTTTGTGAACCTAATGATTTAACTTTTGGTCTCATTTTGATAGAAAATGATTTTTATTTATAAATTTATTAGGCATATTTTGAGAACAGCACTCCATCTTATTTATTATTGTAACACACAAATCGAATTCAAAAAATAGTAATTTAACCCAGATGTAACATTATCATTTTAGTCAATAAATTAGATATAAGCAATTCATTAACAACTAATCCTTAATAAACATTAGAGATAATATTAAATTAACAATACTCAAATAATAATATTCACTTTCATTCCAATCTTCTTTTCTTATAAAACTAATTTGAATTAAATGTATAAATAAATGCTCGCATTAATTAGACATATGAAATTTGGAACACTTCATTACATTTTTTTGACTTTAGTAATTTATTCTGTTAATTTGACTAAACAAAAAAGGTTATATAATTTTATCAATATTATCCATTAAGTGCTTATATAAAACCTAAATTAAAGTATTTATATGTAATTGAGAAAATCAATTTATTTAGAAGAAATGCTACAATTAAATGTTTTAGAATATCAAATGAAAATAATACTTAAAAAGAAATATCAAAATTTATTGAATTAATAACATTCCATAATAATTGTTAAAATAAGTCATACATGTTATGGAATTCAAAGAATTCTAATTATTTAAAAAATGATAAATATAATTTATATAGTAGCGAGGGTAATATAAAGATAAGTATCAGGAAATACTATGACTTTTAAAACAATTGCTTATAAAGGCTATATAAATTTCATGCATAAAGTAAATTTGAGTTAAGAGATATAAAATAAAATTACATATGTTTTCAGAATGAATCATTTTTTTATATTTATGATTGTAAAGAAAATAAATTATCAGTTTCAGTAAACAAAGATTAATATAATGTACTTGAATCTAAGGGAGGTTATTATTTTTTTAACAAAAATAACAATCAAATTATAAGAGGAGTCAAAATTTCACCATAACAACTTTAATTATTCAATCTAAAGTTTGATGAAGTGATTACAAGCGTTAAGGAAATTACTTAAAGTATATTTCTTTAAACTAATAATTCTTATTTGCCTCTTATTATCATTATGAATTCTTAAAACAATTTATGGAAAAATTATCTCTCAAAAAATCTTTATTAGCCTGAACCTATTCTATTTTATTTTGAGTTTGGAAACTCAAAATTTATTTAATATTTAAAGATCTTAGCTTTTTAAAATAAAGAAATATTCAGATGTTATCAATTTACAGAATCAGTAATTATTTCCATGGAAGCTTTTGTATATTCATATGACTACTACTCTATAATTGCAATACAAAATTAAACTAAATCATTGATTCTTACTTTTTTTAACGAGTTTGAACTACATTAAATGGATAATTACACCTTTTAGGACTATTAATTTTCTTATCCTTTTAAGTACTCAATATACTACTAAAACTTAGCTATTTTAATTGAATAAAATAATTAGCTAAATATAGCTATTTTTTAATACACTCTTTCAACTTTATAGTTAATTGAAATTATCGCTACAGATGATTACTTTTTTAAACTTTATCCAAATAATTTATTGTTTTCCTTTAATAAAGTATGGAGATAATAATTTTTGAATCAAATTGAGGTTCAATTAGAGACTGAATGGCCTTATTAAAAAACATTAACATCAGACTTTTCTATAAGTTTAAATGAGGAGAGTGGTATTGAATTAAAGATTTAAATTTATAATCAATGCTTCTAGTTATATTCTCTAAAGAATTCATCTATAATTCCAATTCAAAAGAATTTAAATCAAAAATTAAACATATCTGATATTTTTTATGGTCCAATTACTAATTTGACACTTTTAAAGAATTCAAACATTATTTTGAATGGACCTTTTTAATTACAGAAAGAACTTTAATATTGTAATTAAATAAACTCAAATTTCTGTATTTAAAAATATAACTATGAAACAGAGCTTAAATAATTAATATTTTCGGTAATTGTTTTGGAAAATCAAAATATTGAAGTCATAAAAACAAATAAATATAATCCTTTTTTTTATGTAACTTGGATAAAATACTAATATTATCTTTGTATTTAGTAATTTAAAGATAATCTACAAATTTAATTAATTGAATGTTCTGTAGAATAAGATAATAATTGCAATTTAATCACAAATCTTAATGAGAATTTCAAAATAAGTTAAATTAATGTTGCAGACACAATAAAAACAGGTAATTTAATAAAACTCAAAAGTAATGATAATCAAGCTTTTATTTTTATTGAGGGAATAAAATTTGATTTATAAATGTTACCTGATATTATCGTAGATATCTTATATATTGAATAATCAAATGATTAATACTTAATTTTATAGAAAAATATGAGAAATTCTAATGATTTAGAATTAACTATTTACTCAATCAATTTACATTAAAAGCTCTTAATATATTCATTAACAATTACTAATGCACTTTAAATAGAATTGAAGAAAAATGGAAATTATTATAATTAGCAATATACTATAAGATTAGTCTCATGTAAATATTCTGGAGAATTAATTAATATTAAGCTTTTCATTATGTATTAACATTTTTCATAATTTTTGTAACTTTATTTAGATCAAAAAAAGAATTACATTTAATTTGAGTTTTAGAAATAAATTAGAAATGTAATTACTATCAAATCCTCTTAACATCAAGATTTCATAATTGAATATATTGATGATAATATTTTAGTTTTACAATAAACTACTGACAATATGTATCAATTTTATGATCTTAGAGAAAATAGGAAATTTTATGATTATTTTCATAAATCTATCTTTTTTATGGAAATAATCAGACTAAATACTACTCATTTCATTTTTTACAATAATTCTTTGATATATTTAGGATAAATTGGATATGAATTAGTTTTATAAAATTGGGATGAAAATGAATAAAATTTTGAATTATTTGCATAAAATGAGATATCAAATCAATTAATTTAATTGTAATTACATATAATTAAAACAAATTAGTAGTTTAAAAAGAGTATTTTATTCATTTTCTTTATTTTCATACTTATATAGATTAGATAAAAGAAATCTAGGAAACGATAAAAAAATAGTCCCTAATGAGTTTAATTCTATTTTTAAACATTTTTTATAATTAGTATGAATTGAAGCAATCAAATCTAATTTTAAACATTATCTTTAAATTATTAATTCTAATTTTTTCAGTTTTTTTCTATCATTCTAGCTGAAAAACTAAAATACTAAACATGTTTTTGTGAGTAATAAAAAAATAAACTTGAAAAAATACATTTAAAAATAAATGCCAAATCTCATTATTTATATTCCTTTAAAGATGAATTATAATAATATTCATCATAATTATATTTTATCGTTTATTAAACACAAATATTTTACATTCAGTAAATCAATAGCATTTTTCTTGTATAGAATTATTTTAACTAATACTATTTTATTCTATTTATGGAGACGATGGAATCCAAAGAAATAATATAATAAGGGATTAAAATAGATTAAACAGAAGTAATTTAGAAAACTTGAATCATTATTTCATAAAATTTATAGAAATAAATTATTTTTTCGAATTTAAGTAGCAGATAAAAAATGAAAGTTCAACATTATATAAAAATAACATAATTTAATATCTTTTACAAAGTTATTATTGCAGCGTCTGGGTATATTAAAAAGGTATTAAAATCTCATTATTATTTTTGATTATTAAGTTGGAAGTTAGCAATTTTATGAATTATTGCTATTAATTTTACAATATCAAATAAAGAACCTAAACTCCTTATTCACTAAAATATTTTCCTAGCAATATTTGGAGACAATTATTTATGTTGTTGAAATATTTTGGTAGTCAAAAAATCGTTACCCTCAATGGATTTTTATTTCAGCCTAAAATACAATACTAATCAAATATTAAATTTTTTCCCTTGAAATATTAAACCAGATAATCTAGAGTAGGATATTCTAATCATTTATAATCTATCGATTAGATGGAATTATGGAATGCTTAATATCTAATTCTTATTTTTATCCAGTACTAAACGAATAAATAGCATAACAACCATAAATCAAAAGAAGTTATATCTATATTGTATTATTGATTTTAACTGATGTACAAACTGATAAAATATTAGTACTTAATGATGATATTATTTTTTCATCTTATTTACCATTATCAATGATCATAATAGGTATAAAGGATCCATATTTAAAAAATATATCATGATTATAAATTGTGATAATAAAACCATGGTTGATGTAAAAGGAATAAAGCTACTAGAAATTTAGTTTAATTTCTTCTTTTTTCAACATTACAAAATAGATCCTGCTCAATTATTTAAGAAGGTTTCAGAATAACTACCTAATTAATCATTATATAGAATGGTAATTATTAATTGTAATCATTCAAAAAATAAATCTAATAATATTAGAAGTACCATCTATTCAGCTTAGAAGTTGATCAAACATTTTTACCAATCAACCTAAATTTTTAGTTATATAAGATCATGAGGCTTCATTTAATCTAACTATAACTTCTATAGAATCCATATAAAAATGTTAAATAAATTCAATTAAATAAAGTAATTAGATAAAAAAATTATAGCAATGATCTATTTATTAATAAATAATATTATGATTAATTTCAATATCTCTCATCGTTTAATCAACTCCATTAATCATTATTAAAACAAAAGAGTATTATCATAGGTTATCTTTTTTTTTACTCAATTAAGTAGAAATTTTTTCTATAAATGTTATATTTGTTATTTAACTTTTAAACGCAATTTCAGAATTTTATTCTATAAAATATTAATAGGAAATTGCATTTTAGAATTTTAATAATAATCGCTTTCAAGGTTTTGTTAAGAAATCTGCTAGTTGTAGAATAAATAAAAAAATATTATTATGTTCATAATTTAAAGAATAATTAATAAGGAATTCATATTTAATAAAGTTAAAAAAGATTTGATTATTTAATTTATTTATTATTTAAAGGCCAGAGATCCATATCTGGTCACAAAAATAGAGTAATTTATATTTTTATTTAAGCCAAACTCTAGTGGAGCATGAGAAAGCATTAGCCATCGATCCACAAATAAAATTTTGTAAAGAGTTTTCAAAACTAGAAAATGCTTCTTGGGAGATTGTTTAAAAGCTCTGAGTGTAAAATCTTAAATACTCATCAATTCATTATACAAGTATTTCGATATTTTATTATAAAGCTAAATGTTTATATTATATTGAACATCCTGCCAAATTTGGATTATGTTAGAACACTAAAAATTTAGGCTTTTCTATGTTTAGTTCATTACCATGGGGATCAATATTACATTTAGAATCGATAAGTATAAGAATTTTAGAAATTTTAACATTTAATATTGGTCACCTTAATGTATCTAAATAATTAAAAGAAAAGGACTAAACTTTTAATATTTTAATAGAATCTATATGAATGATAATTATTAATTAAATTTATTTATGATATTACAAAATTAGATATCAATTATTGTATTAGAAATTTTACAATTTTTATTTGATATTATCATTATTATTTTGGATATATTTTTGTTATTTAATAACAAACTGTAACATAGATTTAACATTTAATTTTCCTTTTCAGATTTAATATTCGATTGTATTTTGTTATTATTTAAAATATGAAAAATCTGAAGTCATAATTTCATTCAATATCCATTCTATTTTAGGTGATTGAAAACTACATTTTAATAATGAAATTGTAATATATAGGTGCCTTCTATTCTGATTACTTAAGTTATTTCACAATTTATTTAATTATTATTATTTTCGCATATAAAATAAATTTGAATAATTAAATGTAAAAAATATTAAGAATTAACAAAAGTGGTATTTAATTCAATTCAAAGTCAAGAGATGTTTCTCACAAGTACTAAATAATATGGACCTAAAATTATTATTCATTTTTATTTTTCGAATATAAACCTAATTCTACTTATTTTAATATACTTTAGAATTTCCATAATATATAGCAATCATTTTCTTTGGAGAATAAATTACATAAACTTTATTGATTTTGTTCAATAGCATATCAAGCTGGTTAAATTAATAAATTTAAAGGAGCTAATTAACAAGCACAATAATATCAAATAACAATAATATATCAATATAAAATGAGTAACTAAAGTGTTTATTCATTTTCTTATTTCCATTTTTTTGATAAATTATAAAACTCTCTAATATTAATAACACACAAACATTAATATAATTTAATATCAAATATATCTTCTTAAATAATTAATGAGATTGATTGTACAGGATAAAATTATCTCGAGAACATGATATAAATTTAACTTATTGATTCATAGATACTTCATATGCAATGAATGCAAGTTATTTATGAGTTAAAGTTATACTAATTAGTAACATTTTATTTACAGAATTTATGCAATGAACATTACTTCCACAAATGATAATATCTTATATTTGGTTCATAAATAAGCAAGTATATTTAATTCTAAAATAAAAAATTATTTTATTGGTATTATTTAAGTTTAAGATTTTCTTAATTATATTATAAAAAAATTGTATCTCACAGTCATATAAAAATAAGAATGATACAAATTATTATTAATTGCTCCCATCAATTAATTGTTCTCACAAAAGCATTATGTCTAGTATTCAAGTTTGAGTTTAAAAATGAAAAATTAAAGAATACATTTACATTGATGAATTATTTATGAAAGTTTAACACTAAAATACAGAGAATTTATTGAATTTTCATCTGATTAGTAGTTTATATGAAAAGGAATTCTACAATTGAGAATTGCATTCCATGTTCTATTTTGATTTCTTCTCAAAATTTAATAAATTCAATAGTTTTAATTTTATGATTATTGTTTAAGAAAAAATATGTAATTTTAACAAAACCATCGTTATATTTGTTTCTTTAATTACTAAATTAAACATAAAGCATCTATTAAACATTATTAATGAATTTCAAATATTGATTCTCTAACTATTATATGAATAAATAATTAAAAATTATAAAGGTTTTGATGTTTATCCACTAAAAATTCATACTCTTCTTAAGCTTTCCTTTTTGTTTGCTAATTATTTTCAACATCTTAAGAAAGTGTATTTTGTTGTAACATCAATGAAATTATGATTTTTTATTGCTGATCTATTAATTCAGAGTAAATAGAGGACAACCATTGATTTTCCAAAATAAAATGATTTAATAGAATCAGTTGTTTGGTCAAATTAATCAATAATCACTTTCTACAATATAGAATTTTTAACTTCTTTTATAAATTCAGTTGTTCATCTAAAAATCAGAATCTTTGCATTAATAGAAAATGATTGTGAAGATACTATTAATTAATTAAGATCAATAATGTTAAATTATAAGGATTTCATATTATTATTTATAATTCTCTAAATTATTAAATAATAGAAGTAATATAATTAATAGAATTTGTAGATTTAAAAATCACCAATACTCTTAGCAAAGATTTTTCATTAAAAATAAGATATAGGGTTAAATTAATTCCCACTATATCATCATTATAAATATTAATTATTTAAATATAATTATTCATTTAATAGCACTTTTATTTTTCTTTATATCTATTTCAGTCCATTTACTATCTTTTTTACCATTTTTATATTCTCCATCATAGATCACTTATTTGCTATAATTAAATCCATCATCTAATTCTTTCCATTTTCCAATTTTGATTCCATAATTTACTTCATCATATGATCCCCCAGCTCTAAATTTTCACTTACATAATTATTTTACATTTATTCAAAATTCTCTCTTCCCTTCCCCTTATACAAAATCTCCCATTTACCAGTTTTTTTTCCTTTCTTATATTCACCTCTAAAAATTATTTATAAATCCCTCCAAAATCTATCACCTATTTCTGTCCAATTTTCGATTTTGATGCCATCATCATTGTATTTTCCACCACCACTAAAAGTTATTTAATTTAATTTTATTACATTTATTGAAATGGTGACTTCTCGTCCTACCTATACATAATATCCCATCTACCAATTTTTTTTCTATCTTTATATTCTCCAATTTAAATTATTTAAGAATAACTTGCAAATCTATCGTCTATTTCAATCCATTTACCAATCTTAATATCATCATTTCCTTCATCATATGGTCCACCAGCACTAAATTATTCACTTATGTAATTATTTTACATTAATTCAAAATTATCTTTACTTTTATCCCTGAACAAAATCTCCCATTTACTAATTTTTTTTCCATTTATATAGTCACCTCTAAAAATTACTTATGAATCTCCTTTAAATCTATCACTTATTTCAATCCAAGATCCAATCTTTATGCCATGACCTCCATCATCATATAATCCGCCACCACTAAAAATGGGCAATTCATAAAATATCATTACATTTATTCATTTTTTAAATCTCCATAATTCTTTTTATACCAAATGTGCTATCTACCTATTTTTTTGCCATTTTTATATTCACTAATGTAAGTTATTTGTGATTCCTTTTCAAACCTCTCTCCTATATCAATCCATTTTCCAATCTTAATACCACCTTCTTCATCATATAATCCACCACCTCTAATATTTTGCTTAAGAACAAATTGCTTACATATTTTCTCCTTCATAATTAATATCCCATTATCCAATTTTATTACCATTTTTATATTCACCATTGTAGGTTAAATTTTAATAATTTTAAAAACCCTCTATTAGTTCAATCCATTTTCCTATCTTAACCCCGTTTTCTTCATCGTATGATCCACCTCCTCTAAAATTGTTCATTACATAAAAATGTTTACATATCTTCTCCCTCATAATTAATGTTCCAACTACCAACTTTATAACCATTTTTATATTGCCCTCTATAAGTTACCTAAAAGGATTCCTTAAATTCATCACTTAAAACAATCCATTTTCCAGTTTTTATTCCATTCTCATACTAACCTCCTCCTCTAAATTTTGATTTAATAATAATATTACATTTCTTAATTATCCCAAATTATATTCCAAATCCCAATTTTTTTATTTTATTCATAATAACCTTTTTCAATTATATTCTTTTAACTAAAAACTATGATATTAATAAATACTCCCAGTAATTATCACATAATTCAATCCAATTTCCTTATTTTTCTCCATTTGAATTATACATACCACCTCCAATTTATTATCCTTTCCAAAAATAGTTCCATTAGTTAATTTTATACCCATTAACACCATATTATCCTTAGAATTCTAAATGTTTTATTTATTCCAGGTTATATAATTATTATTCACTTTTCTATCCTAAGATGTTCTTTTATCTAAAGTATTTTAACATAAAATATACATTCTAAGAATTTATCCATCTTTTTAATAGACTTTATTTCCATTTTTTTATGTTATCAGTTCAAAGGATGTTTTAATTAATTAATTATTGACCTTCTCAACTCCTTCCAATTAAATGATACTGTCTTCTTATTTCACCTGATTGCTTAAAATTACAAAAAAAGGCTTACAAATAAACATGAATCTATTCAACTATATGATCTATTTTATATGCATTTTACAAAAGCTTTTCAAAAAGTACTCCTGTCTTCTAAATTTTAGAGGAAACGAATTTTTTTTTGTCAATCCATTCTTCAAAAAGATTGCCTTCAAGAAAATTGACAAGAAAATCTAAATCTGTTTAAGAGCATTCAAAAGGATTTAAATTTTAATTGATAAGTCTTAAGAATTTTTCATCTTCTGCTGTATCTTCTTCTGAAATCCTTTTGATTATATCCCTAATATTTGAGAATATTAAAGTAATATCCTTATAAAGAAAATCAAATTTTTGAAAGATTGTTTTAAAAAATGATTTCAATTAATTTTCTTCCAAAATATTTTTTATGTTTAATTAATTGGCCTTCTAAAGCATAAAATTGACAAACTCTTCTTTATTTAAAATTTATTCTGATGGTATTTTATATTTTAAAATGCATTCCAGACATACTTTTCTCTATATATTTTTATTGTGCTTGACTTTATAAATACCTCCAATCTAAGAATTTGGATGCTCATAACAATTCTCAAGAGAAATCATTCAATAAAATTGATTAAGAAATTTAATAGAAATTAATAATTTAATAATGAGCAGATGTATATTTTATACATCACAAAATATTATCTATGGAATTATAATTACATTTTGGCTCAATAATTTATCATAAATCGATACTAATAAAAATGCATCAAATACTAAATTATTAAACTTATCATATCAATACAGCTATGTGAAAAATATTTTGAGTATTATCTACTGACTAAATTAAAAAGGAAGCTTAAATTTAACACTGAGATTTAAAGATTTTAATTAAGTTTCGATACAAAGATTTATGTAAATTTATATTCTCTTTATATCTAAAATACTTATTGTACTCAATTTCTAAAAGAGAGAATAATTAAAATGGTATGGAAAAATTTCTATAATTATTTGAAATAAAATAATAATCCAGATTATTTTTGATTTAGAATCTAATCGAAATTAATAGATTATTTGATCAATTACTTAATTATCATTTCATCATTCTTTAATTAAATAAAATTCCCAAAAAAGAAACAATAGGTAAACCAAAGATATTGAAGATATCTTAGTCAAAAGAGATCAGATATATAATTTGAAGGTATAAGCCTATTGACTAAATTATGCTTCTGTATTATGATATTTATTGGAAATGAGGAACTTTAGCATCATTTATACTAGGTTTATTAATAAAGTTTTGAATTGATTAAGAATACAAGAACTTAACATAATTACATTAAAATTAAAACTTATATGGATCCAAAAATTTCCTATGGAGCTATTTTATATTGATTTAAAAATCAAATGTGACAATCTAAAGCAAAATTTTAGTAATTATTTAATAAGCTTGAATTAGATTATTATTTACTTTTTTCTTAATATCAATTATTAAATTTTTTATAATAATATTTACCTTAAGATTAATCCTTTAATTGTCTTTTTGGATCAATATTAAATTAAAATTATAGGTTTTACTTATTAGGATAATTCGTTTGATTTCTCTTTTTATTTTTATAATATTGAAATAGAATAAAGAAATTGTTAAGAGATCAAGTCTAATAAAAATTAAAAATCTAGAATTATAAACTTATTATAAGAAAAAATATCAAGATAAGATATAATTTATAATTGAATCATGAAATAGCATTAAAGTCAACTAGTATTAGATAGAATATAATTTTTTTTGAAAAATAATTTTGCTTTTAATAACATATTTTTGATGAGGTTTTTTTTTCATTATTCTTCTGAATATCTAATATCAGAATTATAATTTCAAGATTTAGGTGAAAAAAAACTACTATAAAGGATAAATTCCTAATAGTACTAAATATCATATATCAGGATTTTCATGCAAATGATTACTATAAGGAAATATTATGATATTTAAATATAAATGATATAAAATCAAATAATGATTAAACATGAGATTTTAATAGCAATATTTAAAATGAATTCTTTAGTACTATATTTTAATTTAAAAATAAATTAAGAATTTATGAACATAATATTGAATGCAATCTAAAAAATAGATGTTTTTGGTGTACCAATTTTTCTATTAACAAATAACAATAATCCACTTCATTAAAGCAAACTTGGTGGAATAGTAACCTTGAGTTTAGGAAGTATTAGTCTATTTTACTTTTTTTATGTAATAATATTATGGATGAGTTACTCAATAGCTCCAAATATAAGTTCAAAGTAATAAACTTTAGGTTATACTGAATTTTAATTGCAAGATTCAACTATTTAAATATCTTTGTAAGACTTTTCAGGGGATATCGATCCATTTTAAAAAGAAAATAATATAATCACTCCTCTTTTATTTACTTATAAAGATAAAACAATATATGAAAAACCAATTGCTTTATTTAGTAGTCAAGAATAACCTTATCTTATTAAATTAAATAATGCATCTCTAATTTTAAATACTTTAGAATATAAGGATGAAAAATATCAAGAATAAAGATAGTATTTAATAGTTTTAGCAAGATGTTCGGAAGTATTTGCTATAAATGGAAGTAATTGCGCAGATGAGAATACTATTAATACTTACCTTTCCAAATATCATGGATTTTTATTTCTGAATATTAAATTAAGCTAATTGAATTATATAACATAGGAATTTGAATATTTCAATAAGTTATATTATACTAGTTTCGATGTAAATATGCCTCAATATTCTTAAATTCTATTAAAATAATAGGAAACTATAATTGATAGTGGTATAGTATTTAATAATTTTGAACATTTCTCATTTCTGAATAATTATGAATTCATTAATTAAGTAATTGATAATTCATTTTCATAAAAAATAATTAATTCAATGTCAAATTTTACTTATAATTTTGATAGTTATGGTTGTTATCTTATTAGAATAGACAATATATCAATTAAAGAAGAAATAACACATCCAAAATTAGGTCAAATATTAGCCTAAATAGGATCAATTGTCTAATTAATATTTCTATTAAAACATTTATTATTATATTACAATACTAAATTATTAGAGAATGAATTATTAAATGAAATTATAACAATGTATTACCCAGAATTCAAAGAATTTAAACTTGATATTTTTAATTAATTTAATATTTCATTTTACAAAAACAATAATCAATTTAAATCATCTAATTTATAAGAAAAATATCTAATACTATAGGCAAGGGCAAAAGAAAAATGTAAACTTAATAATATATTATATGAAATATCTAGAATTTAATTTATTCTTTAACAAAAGTTTGGTGATATGGTATTAATCTAAAGCCATTAAATGGGTGCTAAAATCGACCTTAATTAAATTGCCTTAGTAAGTATTAAGGAATCTAACAGGTTATGTGTTAAACCTGTAGAATCTATTGATTTAGAACCTCAAAGTCAAAACATAGACCCTTTAGAATTATTAATAAAATAATCTTGAAAATTAATATTATTCAGTTAAATATAAATTTATTTTAATTATTTTTTAGATATAAATTAATTATATATATTAGAGTGATTGTTAGATATTTACAATTAAATAAATTAATGTTAGAAAGAGTGTGATCTGTAATTAAATGATTAAAATATCCAAAAGATTATATTAAATTATAATAATATTGATTAATATTTTAATGACGTTTGAAATAATTTCAAACATTAATTAAACTTAATAGTTAATAATCTTTATGAAAACTTAATTATAATAATAATTCCTTTCCAAAATACAAAAATTATATAGATTTTTAATTTTTTGATCATTCACTAAGTAATATTAAGAATAGTTAAATCTTAGTCTCAATATAAAATATAATTAATCTAAATATAGAAATAAAATCATGATTGATTAAGATATTCATCTATATTAGGTAATTTATTTCCTAATCCTTTTCTTTTACGAATATTTAGAACTAATTCATTAGCTAAGGATCCGTGTTCAAATGGATCTCCCCCTATAATTGCCCAATGATCAAATTCGCATTAAGGATATGCTTAACCTTAAGTTAAGATTCTAAGATGTGATGAATATCCTATTGATTAAGCCACAGATAGATAAGATTTAATTCTTGTTAGTTATGTTCCAACTATCTATTCTTCCTCAATTATTATTCCTTTTCTTATACTAAGACATTAATATACACCAGCTGTAACTTAGTTTGGAACAGTAACTTCAGTTAATAAGATTGGTTCTTATAGTCTAGGCTATGCAGTTAACTCACAAGCAGAATATAGTCTACGAGCTGTTGGTATAATTTAACCTTCTCCTCTATAAATTGTTTCTGCACTCAAAACACAATCTAAGATATTTACTCTAACACCTCTCATATTTTCTTAACATAGAGCTCCTTCCTTTGTTGAGATCTACCAAGCAAACTACATTGATTCTTTGATTTCATTTAAGTATTGAACTGCAGTAGTTTGATTACATAGAATATTAGGGCCAGTATCATTAGGACCAAATGTCCATATTTTCAAAGCCTCATTCTTATTCCAATCATATTCATATGTTAATATATTGGCTCGACTTTAAGGATTATTTGTGATTAAGCCTTTTTCAATAGCAATTTATAGATTTTCATCAAGAGAAACAGCTTATGCATAGAATCTATTATGTTAATTTTCAGATTTGGCCATACAAATAATTTAAGAAGAAGCAGTAACAGTTTCCTTATAGACAACAATTGGATCAGATTTATCTAATTAAATACCATTTAGATTGTCTTCAAGTTCATTTAAGGCAATTTATAAATGTGCTTCGCTGCATCCAGATATAAAATGTTAACCTGAATCTTCAATTGAATAATCTATGAGTTAGTTTATTTGAGCTAATCTTCTTAATCCTTCTATTAGCTTAGGTAATTCATGAGGATTTTTTGGTGATATGGCCATTTTAACAACTGGATAAACAGAATTTTTAATTGGTCTAATCAAATGACATTCAGGATGATCAGATATTGTACTTGAATTGGTTAAAACATTAGAATCTCCAATTAATCCAATAACATTTCCACATGGAATACCTTATTCAATATATTCAACCATTCTACCATTAATCCATGCTGTCTTTCCAATCTATCTAATAAATATATCATCTTTTGAACATGGCTTAAAATTAGATCCCATTATTCTGATTTACTAATCTTATTTGATTGTTCCAGAAAATATTCTCCCAAATGCTATATAATTATCTCTTCCAACTTATATTACTTTAGATATAAACATTACGAAAGGTCCATTTGGATTACAATTCTTTATTGATTAAGCAACTTAATTATTTTATGATCCTTCATAGAAATATGATGTCCTATACTACTGAGCTTATTTAGGTGATGGTAAATGATAGATAATCATCTAAATCAAATTATCTGAAACATTAATCCATTTTGACATCACAGTTTATAATAATTACTTACCAATCAAACCTTAATCTTATTCATTTAATTATAATCCTAATACATTCAACATTTTAATTACAATTTAAATGTTACCATCCATTATTGCCTTAACCATTTTGCAAATTGGATCTAAAATAAATTATACAAATGTTCTTTTTAATTCTTTACCAATATTACTTTAATTCTCATTAACCCAGCATTTAGTTTCAGAATCAAAGTAATTTTCTCCCCAAAACTTTTCTTATAACTTTTTTGATTCTGTATTAAATTTAGAAGCATAAAATTCAGCAAATTTAGTACATGTTAATGCCCAACCATCCTTTCCTGATCCAAATGATACTGTTCCTTATTCTGGTTTTATCAATAGATCACCCATGTCATCTTATTAGTATCCAAATATGATCATATTTATTTGTTCTATTATTTAGACTAGAGTATTATAAATAGTTTCACTATCCTATTATAATTCTAAAATAGCTCTATCTAATTTATTCACCATTAACACAGGTTTGACTTTCTCTTTCATACACATTCTCAATAGGGATTCTGTTGATGTACTAATTCCTTCTATATAATCTACAATTATTAAGATTCCATCTGATACTCTCAATGATGATAAGATGGTTTCAGAATTAAAATTTGGTAATCTGGGAAAATCGATTAAATTGAATAGATATTATTATATTACACCATTAGATTAATTTTCGAATTCATAATACAATGATAAGTTAGTAGGAGTAGTATTATTAATAATTATTGCTTCTTTAGATTAATCAATAAGATTAATGCCAGCTTTATTAAGTAATTGATCTATTATAGTTTATCTACCATGATCCATATTTGCAAATACACAAATATTTCTAATATTATCCTGATTATTCATGCTTTTTGTTATCTGATTCAATATTAAATTGACCATTTATTTATAATTAAACTTATAAAAATTTATTTATAAAAACTATGAATATTTATACTAAATATTTCTGATTAAATCTAAATTGTAATTTCAAATTCTTTAATAAATGTTATATCCAGATTGAAAAGCTATGGTTGAATAAATTACTTCTTATAGATTTATAATTAAATGTATTTTAGAACAAATATAAGTCTTTGCATTTATAGTTTAAAATATTTCTTTATTTTCAAATCTAACAATCATTCATTTTATTAACATAAAATAGGAGTAATATTATATAAATACTGTCTTTTTTTATTAATCTCTAATAATTTTAATTATATTTTTGGGATTCTAATCATTATTGATTTAATTATTTAAAATATATTTGAATAATATATTGTAAATCAGATTATAATCCTTTTCTTGATAATTTAATATAAATATGATTTTTTTTAAAGGAAAATCTTTAATTGGTATTTAATAATTAAATAAATGCTTTTTTTAATTATGTTTTGAATTTATTTGATATAATATTATTTATTAATATCAACAACTTAATATAGATTTTTACTTATCATACATAATCAGTAAATATATTATGATAGAGTAACATTTATCTTATATTTCTATTAGATTATTAAAAGTATTTAAACTAAATTATTTGAATTTAACCTTGAAAATCAAAACATAATAAATAACAAGATTCAATTAATTTCATTAATAAATATTTTTTCTTTTTAAATATTTTGTCTGCATTAATTAAATTAAAGAATAATAGCTAGGATTAATTTTTTAGTTCAAACCAAAAATATTGGATAAAAGTTGATTTATAGATTTTAGACATATCTTACTATAATCTTTAGTTATTTATAATTTAAATTCTTAATTATAATTTTTAATATTCTATTTCATTAGCATTTAAAATCATTAAAATCTTTATTCAACTTTGATAACTTAATTGATAGTTATGATTTCAGTTTAATACTTAATCACAGATATATTAATTATTTCAAATCATTTGAATAATAGATTTAGTGCTTGTATGATAAATATAATTCATGATAATTGATTAAGATAAAAAATATTTTTTAAAATCTTAAGAAAATCAATTTAATTATAACTTAATACAAAATAAAGTTTAAAAGATATATGATTGAATATAAAAACTAAATGATAACTTGAGTTCTTTATATTTTAAATTAACATTATATTTTTATAGTATAATATTAAAATGCAAAAAACATAAGAAAAAATACTAGATGAAAATAATACATGCACATATTAGTTTTGTGAGAGCAAAGGTTTATTTTAATAATTTTGTTTAGCAAAGGCTTTTAGAAAAATAAGAAAAGTGGTAAGAAGCTGTTTAATGTTGGGATGAAGGAATTGCTAAATTAAAAAGAGCTCCTTTTTTCCAAGCAAAAAAGGTACACTGAATAAACTAATATGGTTAGCAAAAGCATTATAAAATTTAGGAAAATGGAAAGAAGCTACTGAATGTTGGGATTAAGAAATCAATAAAAACAAGAATAATAGAGTTTTTTATGTTTGGAAAGGTAATATTAAAGTAACCAAATAGCATAGGCTTTAAAGATTAAAGTCTTTCTCAGAATATTTTTTTCAAAGGGNAAATATAAGTCTTTGCATTTATAGTTTAAAATATTTCTTTATTTTCAAATCTAACAATCATTCATTTTATTAACATAAAATAGGAGTAATATTATATAAATACTGTCTTTTTTTATTAATCTCTAATAATTTTAATTATATTTTTGGGATTCTAATCATTATTGATTTAATTATTTAAAATATATTTGAATAATATATTGTAAATCAGATTATAATCCTTTTCTTGATAATTTAATATAAATATGATTTTTTTTAAAGGAAAATCTTTAATTGGTATTTAATAATTAAATAAATGCTTTTTTTAATTATGTTTTGAATTTATTTGATATAATATTATTTATTAATATCAACAACTTAATATAGATTTTTACTTATCATACATAATCAGTAAATATATTATGATAGAGTAACATTTATCTTATATTTCTATTAGATTATTAAAAGTATTTAAACTAAATTATTTGAATTTAACCTTGAAAATCAAAACATAATAAATAACAAGATTCAATTAATTTCATTAATAAATATTTTTTCTTTTTAAATATTTTGTCTGCATTAATTAAATTAAAGAATAATAGCTAGGATTAATTTTTTAGTTCAAACCAAAAATATTGGATAAAAGTTGATTTATAGATTTTAGACATATCTTACTATAATCTTTAGTTATTTATAATTTAAATTCTTAATTATAATTTTTAATATTCTATTTCATTAGCATTTAAAATCATTAAAATCTTTATTCAACTTTGATAACTTAATTGATAGTTATGATTTCAGTTTAATACTTAATCACAGATATATTAATTATTTCAAATCATTTGAATAATAGATTTAGTGCTTGTATGATAAATATAATTCATGATAATTGATTAAGATAAAAAATATTTTTTAAAATCTTAAGAAAATCAATTTAATTATAACTTAATACAAAATAAAGTTTAAAAGATATATGATTGAATATAAAAACTAAATGATAACTTGAGTTCTTTATATTTTAAATTAACATTATATTTTTATAGTATAATATTAAAATGCAAAAAACATAAGAAAAAATACTAGATGAAAATAATACATGCACATATTAGTTTTGTGAGAGCAAAGGTTTATTTTAATAATTTTGTTTAGCAAAGGCTTTAGAAAAATAAGAAAAGTGGTAAGAAGCTGTTTAATGTTGGGATGAAGGAATTGCTAAATTAAAAAGAGCTCCTTTTTTCCAAGCAAAAAAGGTACACTGAATAAACTAATATGGTTAGCAAAAGCATTATAAAATTTAGGAAAATGGAAAGAAGCTACTGAATGTTGGGATTAAGAAATCAATAAAAACAAGAATAATAGAGTTTTTTATGTTTGGAAAGGTAATATTAAAGTAACCAAATAGCATAGGCTTTAAAGATTAAAGTCTTTCTCAGAATATTTTTTTCAAAGGGTTACTAAACAAGAGGTAAATTGTCTTTAATTAAACTACTATATCAATATTTTTTTGTTATCTAGTTTGTCAAAATATGATGTAGGAGGCTATTGATTGTTGGAATCAAGGAATTTTAAATAATCCTAATGACAGAGGATATTATGAAGAAAAAGGTAAAGCAATTCTATATCCTAATTGAGCTATGGCACTACTAAACCAAAGAAGGAATTTAGAAGTCATTAAGTGTTCAGATGAAGTGAATGCGATATTTCAAGAAAGTGAAGCCATAAATTTTATAAGAAGTATTTTTTCAATTATCATTAGTTTATGCCTTATTAAAATGTAAAGGAGTTATTACTTTTTAAAAATTACAAAATGAATTCCTATTAGATAATTTGAAACTATTGAAAAAAGCTATTATAGCAAGAAGACTTGCAAAACAGGATACTACTTTTCAAAAAAGTCAACTTTGATTTTTAAATAAAATTATAAAAGAAATTCATAATTAAATAACCAATAAATTAATCTTATTTATTTTTAGAATATTGTAAGAAAATTTATGCAGTATAAAAAATTACGAAAAATTATGAGAATGACTCGAAGCTGTAAGAATATAAAATATTAAAAAATAGATAGAAGTATTTTCGTATTTTAATTTTTGATAAAACCAAATAATAATTATAATATATTTCTCTATAAATCCTATATATAATATTATTGATAACGTTCATTTTATCCATTAGGCTTTATTTTTTGCAATTAAAAGTATAATTTATCATTAAGAATAATTTAAATATAAAGTTGAAGGATTAGATATTGAATACGGAATAAAGGCAGGAAATATTGTATCTTCAATCTATTCTTCTGAAGAATAACTGAATAGAATAGTACATAAGATGGAATAAGAACAAATATTTTTCTTTATTTCTGTTGATTTATTGAAATTTGATAAAATATCCTCTTTTTAATAATCAAAACATTAATATATTGAATTTTACTAAAATGTAAAATTTTTCATATCATCAATTTAATAATGATTTTAAATATAAAAATTTATTATGAAAAATAAATAAACTTAAATTGCTTCTATAAATTGGAGATGTAATAAGTGCAATAGAAAATTTGATCTTATATCTGGATGTTGTGTTGTTATTTCATAGACTATTAGTTAAATAACCTGTCATTCATGTGTTAAGGTTTTATAAAAATAATCTTAAGTAAATGTTGAATAGATAAGTGAAATTGTGTAAGAATACCAGCAGATAAAAGCATTCTTCATATCAAATAATTTAGTTGAATTAACTTCAAATACAATTTTTCTAAACAAACTTAATATTACAGAGCCAATTAAAGTTTTACTTTAAAATTCAAAAGAATTTCAATAAAACAACAGCTTAACTGAGGCAGATTTATAAACTTATTGTAAGAAGAGAATTCTTTTTAAACAGTTATTTGAAGATCAAATACTAATATAAAAAATTGATAATGCTTCCATGAATTTATAAAGCATTATTAAATAATATTTTTATGATGAAGCATCAATTCCTGTTCTTTGTATTAAAATTCCAAAATGCTAATATCACATATTATATTCTAAGGTTTTATCAAATTATTTCTTAATCTTAAAATACAAAACTGAATCAGAATATATGTCTACTCTCAAAAATAAAGAGGTATTAAAATAAATTAAGAATCAAGGATATGATCCAATTATTTTTATTTCAATTTATGACTTGAGTAGTAAAGCAAATATCTATGAGGATATTTTAATTGAATCTTTAGACTTAGATTATTTAAATGATGATCTAATTCAATCTTATTTACTAGAATAAAGGAATATTATTTATGTCTGCGTAGAAGATACTTATTATTAGATAAATTTAAATCCTAGATAAAACCCAAAATTAATTAAGAAAAATGTAAGATTTTAAGTGATTGGAGACAACCTCATTTAACTAGAATTAAATGGTTATCTAAAATTTAATCCAGATGATAATGAGATAATTTAGAAATAGGGTATATTTACAAGTAATCGGCCAAATAATGAATTTTTCATTTCCTATAATTCAATTATTAACTCATTTATCAAATATCATTAATCTCTTCAAAATAAAAATGAAATATTTGAAGTTATACATTTAAATAAATTATAATGTATAAAAAGAATTATATTTGCTAATTATGAAAAATATAACTACAATAGCATTTATCATAATTATTCATTCACATACATAGTAAAAAATAATACTATTGTACTAACACGTGAATCTTCTATATGTAAATCATTTTTGATACTTTTAAATTTAATAACTAATAAAATTATTAGAAAAATACCTATTTCATCTAAAAAATGCATTCACAATTCTTATCTTTTAAAAAATTAGACAGTGATATGTTTAAAATATCAATAAAATCAAGTAGAATTGTATCATATTTCTACAGGAAGACAAATCCTTCTATTTGAGTAGTATGAAATATATCCAATAATGTAAGATGAATAACTTGCAATATCTATAAAACAAGATGATATAAAAATATTTGAATTGGCCAAATGATTGTTGAATTTAAAAAATAAAATAGTACATCAATATTAATTTAATTTCACTTACTTATTTAATGAGATAAAGAACCTAGCAAATTTAGATTTTCTTTTAAATAGAATTTATAAGCAAATATAATCGAAAATATTCAAAATATTTATTATAATATATAAATACTTTGAATAATATTATTTATTCATTTTTCTTTCTTTGATTTCAAATTTATATAGATAATCTACTTATCTTAATTTAAATAAAATAATTAGAAAATTAAAAATAAAGAGATATCCAAAAATTATATATTATTTAATATTTGAAAAATTAATACTAATCAAATTCTTTATCAAAAATTATATTTTGTGTTTTATAATATTTTATTCAGCAATTTTATTAACAAATAAAATATTTTTATAAATAACCAAAATTAAGCTAAGAATTTCATATTTGTAGTTGATTCTCTAATCTAGTCTTGTTTTTCATCCCATAAAGCTTATATAAATACCTTAATCAAACCGAAAGTTAACACTTTTTAAAATATTCTTCTTCTGTTATAACTTAAATGAAATTAATAATTTATTGTTTTGAGTAAAATTTGTATTTAAATAAAAAAAAGTCTCGTAAAATATAATTAAATTTATGTATGTAAACTTATTTTTAAGTATTATATAAATAAAATAAAATCTCTTTATTTTATATTCAGTGATATTCAATACTTATCACTTAAATATTTCTAGAAGATTCATCCCAAGTGATTAAATATTTTCCATCATTACTCATAGATGCTTGTATTTATATACTTTAAAATATTAATGATTATTAAAACTGCAATTCTTAATTTTCAATAACTTAAAAAATAAGAATTGAATTCATATCTTATTTTATTAATAATCGCTTTTATGATTATTTTAATTAAATTTATTATTAATATTTTTATAATCCATACATTATATATTATGAAAAGCATAAATTACATAAATCCCCTTCACCATCCATTAGTATTTTATTTGATAAACAAAATATTTAATTGTTTTCTTATTTTAATATATATTAGAACATGTATTTGCTACACCAAGGATGAAATATAAAAGTATCATCACCAATAAATGTTGCTTAATTCCCAAATCCATCTACATTAATTATTTAAATAATTTTCCAGAATCGATTAAATTTCTACATTATTGAAATTTTATAATCTCCCCCAAAAGAAATCAGTATATTTTCTGATTCATTAAAACTTAGATTATAAATCCAATCATTATGATTTTCTATATATTAATATACCTTCCATTAATTATCTTCATACAAAAATTGAATTCTGTTTTCAATTCCAGCAACAACCAATTAGTTTTTATCACTTATTGCAAAACAACTATAATGTCTTTCATTTTAATATACCTTGGTGATGAATTTTTGATTATTTATTCCATTTATTGACCAAAATTTAATCTGTTAATCACAACATGACATAAAATACTGAGAATTTCTTACAAAACTCAAGAATGTAACAGATAATTAATTATGTTTCATTTATTATAAAAATGATAAAGCACCATATTTAAAATAAAATACTTTAACTAAATCTCCACAACTAGCAATAAATATTGAATTATTCTTATTGAATTACATAGTTCTGCATCTTTCATCTTATTTAATAAACTATAAAAATTCATTTTAAAAACGAGAAATCTTTTATGAATTACTAATTTTTTAAGCATTTTTCTTATTTCTTTGAGTGAAGTTTCCCATAAACTTAAAATCTATTTATATTTTTTAATTAATAATAATTGTATAAAAATAGTATGGTTTGATAAATTTTACAGTTTCTATTAATTTCCTTAAAAAATGATATTAAATAATTCAAGTAGTCTTTAAACTCTCATGTAATTTAATAAATTTATCATTCCCATAAAGAATTCCTAAGCAAAGCATAATTTCTTATTTTCTTTAAAATATTGTTATTATAGTATTTAATAAATATTCTATTTTAAAATTAAATAAAGCTTTAAGATGATATATTTTTTAAAGTAATAGATCAAAAATTAATTATTATTTAAATTAAAATAATCATTCTACAAAATAATATAATGATAATTTTTTTATGATTATTATTACTTATGATTTCGAATCCCATGTAATCAAGAATTTACGATCTTAACTTAGAGTCGCACTAATATCTCCAAATTTTGGATATCTTATATATTGGTATTATTGTAAATTTCTTTCCTGCTTATCTCTCTTTTAAAACTTTTCTTATCCTGAAGTGTATACAAAACTGATGATATAAATTTTGAATCCATTCTAACAAATTATTTAAAAAGAAGGAAACTTAAAAGAGGGGAAAATAAATGAAATTGATAAATTTTTACATGGACTGTAAATTTTATATTATTTATCATATTTTCCAGTTTAGAAATTAAGTGAATAAATGAAGGATTCAATCCTAGTTTGAAATATAAAAATGCTATTTGTAATAAAATTTACACTATATCCTCTATTTTTCTCTTAAATAATTTATCGAACTTCCCATTAAAATGGGGAGGATTTTTCATTTTTTAAATCTATTGATTTTGACCTAAAGAAATTAATGTTTTACCTTCCAATTTGATTGATACATCCAAAGGCAAATAATTGTGCTCGCTAATTTTTTAAAATAGTGACCAAAATGAAAAGGAGTTATTACATATAAAATTAATTTTTCCATCTAAAGAACTTCTTTTGATAACATAATCATCTGGGGGATATAATACTATACTAGTTAAACTCATGGAGTGTTCCTTTAATTTTATTAAATATTTAGGATTAGCAAGCATACAAAAATACCAAATTGATAGAGAACCATCAAAGGAGCCTGTAATTAAATATGATTTTGTTTTAAAAATTTGACCTCTAAAATTCTATTCTAATTTTGGATTATTTAGATATATTTTAATTATCCCTCCTTAAACTACATAACTTTCATTTTATTATCGTAAACTATAATTCGTAATGTATTTTTAAAATTGATTTCTAATTCAAAACAACTTTTTAGAATTTACAGTTCCTCTAAGAAATCATTTTCTATTATGATATTAATATTGATTTTAATTCATTTTTATGTTTTTTTTAATGCAAAGAGATATACAAAAAGTATTCCATTATCAAATAAATATTGATGCAAATTCACTATTTAAAAAGCCATCCAAATCATTTATTTATTAATTTTAATTAGATATGTCTCGAATAAAGGTTTCTAATTTTCACATCAAATCACTAACATTTCTATTTAAATGCTTCGATTATTATATATTTATAACATTTGAATACATCAAAGCTATTTAATATGTTAAGTGACATAAACTAATTTCTTGATTTCTTATTACTTATAGAAAATTTTCAAATTACCTTTTATCTATTTTGATTAATATCTTAACAAAATACCTGTTTAAACATTAATAGATAAATTTAATATAATTATTTTCTTGTCTATCCACATCATATTTGTATATTTATAATTTCTATTGAGTACTGATTGCAAAATTTATAAAAATATAAATTTTATAATGCTCATACAACATCCAAAACTCAAAAATCTACCTTTACTCTATTCAAGAATTTTTGTAAAAGTTTTACTAGATCTCTTTTTAATTTAATATACTACAATGTTTTTCTGAATGATTTAAATTATAAATATAAGATTTATCTAATAATAATTTGAATTACAATAATATTTCAATAAATTTCAACTGCAACAAATTTTCCCTATTTTTATCCTCTTTTATATTCTCCAGAATATGTTATTTTGCATGGGTCAACTAGACTTAAATTAAAATCATCATCTAATTCAGTCCATTTTCCATGTTTAAACCCATTCTCATCATAGAGTCCTCCTCCGCTTGTAATTATTGGTATTATATACATGATTTTGGATTTGTTAATAAATTCCCAACTACCACTTTTTCTACCATTTTAATAATTCCCATTTATCTTGATTTAAGTATTACTTAAAAGTATACTTTAAATAAAATAATTACTTATCAAAATTATCATGAAGTTCAATCCACTACCCTTATTTTAATCCATTTTCATCGTAATACCCTCCTCCACTTTAAAAATATTAAATTTTTACATTATATTATTTTCAAAATATGAATTCCAAATGCCTGTTTTAATTCCATTAATATATGAACCTTGAAAAGTTATTTGACAAAATCTAATGAAATAAGATTATACTCCCAAAAATTATGATATAAATCTATCCATTTCCCATGCTTCATACCATTATTAGCATAGCAACCTCCTCCGCTATCATATTTTAATTTAGATACATTATTTTATCTTCAAAAATTGTCATCCAAATTCCTGTTTTCTAACCAATTAGATAATCACCTGTAAATAATATTTATGCTTCACTAAAATAATTTTGTATTTTCTATGTACTCCCAATAATTTTCATACAATTCAATCCATTTTCCAACTTTCTCTTAATTTTCATAATATCTACCTCCTCCACTAAATACGTTTGGAATATAATAACTACATTAGCTTATTATTTAGGAGTGCATTCCATTGACCTCTTTTTATATTGTTTATATATTCACCACTAAAAGTTACCTAACAATCACTTTAATAATGGTTTAGAATATGAATTACTGATAAAAATTTTAACCTATTTCTATCCAAAATCCATTCTTTCCTCCATTTTAATCAAAAAATCCTCCTCCCCTAATTCAATATCTTATTATGTACATGTTTTTCAATTAGTATTGCAGCTTCCAAATTCCATTTTTTATGCTTTCCTTATACAATCCTCTCTAGTATACTTGAGCATCACAAATAGATTAAAATTAGTAATTACTACATATTAAAACATTGATCCAATTCAATCCAATAGCCTATTTTCAATCCATTTTAATTATATTCACCTCCTCCGCTTTTTTTATCATATCTAAGGTTACATAATATCATTATTTAAGATAATTTTGAAAAATCCTCCTCTGATCCCATTCTAATACTCTCCTTCGATAAAAATTTCGTGATTCCTCAAAATATAAAATAAATATTACTCCAATAAATATTCATATAATTCTCTCCATTTTCCAGTTTTTAATCCACTTATATCGTATTATCCACCACCACTAAGTCTTATGAAAAATTTTAAACATATGATTATTGTTGCAATTCAAACTCCAAATTCCTACTTTTGTTCCATTATCATATCTTCCACCATAAGTTATTAAATAACAACTGATGAATATTTATATGTACTCTCTAAAATAATGATCTATATCAGTCCATCTTCCGTCTTTCTAACCATTTTCTTTATAGAATCCACCTCCTCTTAATGAAATAATAAATCAAATTGTACATTGAAGTATCTTAAAATTAAGATATCCACTTTCCTGTTTTTATTCCATCCTGATAATTTCCTAGATAAAATATTTATGATTTTCTAAATCAAATACATCTTACTCCAAAAAATGTTCAAATAACTCAATCCATTTTCCAACTTTTGCTCCATTGATATTCAAAGCCCCGCCAGCATATAATTGATAGCCGTTCCAAATTACACTCCAAACCTCATTTTCTAAATCTTCTGATTCATTCTTTCTCCATTTTAAATGTTATATTTGTTGTAAATGTTTCAAATATTGCTTTTGATAAAAAGGTAAATTATACTGTTCTCTTTATAATATCATCTAATAATTACATTCTTATTATTTCACCATTCTTAATAAAAACATTTTTCCCAATATCAGACTATAAGATAAATGATGTATAATATAATTTTCCCATATATTCGGCTAATATTTATTCGAAAGTTTGTTTATCTTACAAAGACATTCTTTAAAAGAAAATATTAATTTACAAATAATTAAAAGGTATAAATTATATTAAATTAAGAGTATTTAAATGAAAAATGATTAAATTTGTATATCTTAACATTATTATTAATCATTATAAAATTGATTATTTATTTTTATCATCTATTAATTTTTGATTAAACATAGATATTTATTGATTACTGTAACAATTTTATAAATATTAACATTAATATTGATCATTTTATATTAATTGATAATTTCTTCTAATTTTATATATCTTAACACTTATAATTATAATTTTATACATATTTATATTTT